TATCTATCTATCTATCTATCTATCTATCTATCTATCTATCTACCTATCATCGATCTACCTATATATCTATATCATCTATCTATCATCTATCATCTGTCACCTATCATCATCTATCTACCTATTATTTTTATTTTGAGACAGGATCTGGCCAGGATAGCTTGAAACTTGTGGTACTCCTGCCTCAATTCCGATAGTAGGGGGATTACAGGCCTTCATCAGCAAACCTAGCTAAAACTGGAATTTTTGAGTCTGGCTGGCATGGTAGTCCAGGCCTTTAATCCCAGCACTGTGCCTCCTGAGCACTGGGATAAAAAGCATGTATCACAATGCTTGGCTTAGTTTTTTTTTTAAGGTTTATTTTTATTTATGTGTATGTGTTTGTAAGAATGTGTGCCACATGTGTGGGTGCCCATGGGGCCTAGAAGAGGGAGTTGGATCCCTTGGAGCAGGTTACCCAACATAGGTCATCAGTCTCCCAACATAGGTGCTGGGAACCAAACTCAGGTCCTCTGGAAGAGCAGAAAGCAGTTTGAATTGCTGAGCCATCTCCAGCCAGGCTATTGATTCTTCGAATACCTCCTTCATGCTTTTAGCCCATTTTTCCTTCTATTGATGTGTTCCCCCCCTTCCTCCTCCTTCTCTTCCTCCTCTTTTTTCTTCTTTTCAGACAGGGTCATAGGTAGCTCATGTTCTCGAGCAACCATGTCAGCAAAATGATATTGAACTTCTGTCTTCCTGAGTGCTGGGATTACAGGCATGTGCCACCCCAGCTGGTTTATGTGTGCTGAGGAACAAAAGCTGGTGTGCTTGCTAGGCAGACACACTCTCAGTTCATCTATATCCTCAGCCTTCTTACTGATTGTTCTTGTTAACTTGCACAGGGGCTCTGTAAACTATGCCACAACTGCTGTACGATTGAGACTCAGTACTCATTTTTACCTTGTGGATTTTCAGTTCCCATATTCACAATAACCTGAAAGTCTCAGCTTTGTATGATCTTATTTTTTTTAATATTTTATTATTTTTATTTTATGTGTATGTGTGTGTTGTCTGTATGTAGGTAAGTGCACCCATGTCGTACAATACCCATGGAGGTCAGAAGAGGCTGTTGGATCCCCTGGAACTGGAGTTACAGACAGTTGTTAGCTGCCATGTGGGTGCTGGAATTTGAACCCAGGTCTTCTGCAAGAACAACCAGTGTTCTTAACCACTGAGCCATCTTTCCAGCCCCATGATCTTATTTTTTTTACATTTTGTTGTGTCTGCATTGGGGCTATTGTACATACATTATCTATGAACATTTAAACACTGGCTTTGTATGGCTGTGTCTTCAATTCTGTCAGTGAGAGGACATGCTAGGGCATAGGTGATACCATGTTTAACTTAAATTTTTTATTTATTTCTATTTTTATGTGTATGAGTGTTTTGCATGCATGTATAAAGCACACCATGTATGTGTAATGTCTATGGAGGTCAGAAGAGGGTGTCAGATCCCTTGGAACTGAAGTTATGGAAGGTTATTAGCTGCCATGTAGGTGTTGGGAACCAAACATAGGCCCTCTGCAAGAGTAGCCAGTGTTCTTGACTGCTGAGCCATCTCTCCAGCCTCCATGTTTAACTTTTTGAGGGTCTACAAGGCTGATAAGGGAGTGTATTATTTTACATTTCCATTAGCAGTAGTTGGTGAAGGTTCTCTGGTTTCTTCACAAAGTTACACCACTAGTTATTATCTATTGTTATAGTCATCCTACTGAGTTTGAAGTGGTATTTCATGGTGGCTTTGATTTATATCTACATAATGGCATAACACATAAAATTTTTGATTTATTTATTTTTTCAATCACTCCTCACTCCCTCCTCACTCACTCACTCACTCCTTACTCACTCACTCCTCACTCACTCACTCCTCACTCACTCCTAACTCACTCACTCCTCACTCACTCCTCACTCACTCCTCACGCACTCCTCACTCACTCCTCACTCACTCCTCACTCACTCCTCACTCACTCACTCACTCCTCACTCACTCCTCACTCCTCACTCACCCCTACTCACTCCTCACTCACTCACTCCTCACTCTCACTCACTACTCACTCACTACTCACTCCTCATTCACTCACTCCTCACTCACTCCTCACTCACTCCTCACTCACTCCTCAATCCTCACTCACTTGCTCACTCCTCATTCACTCCTCACTCACTGACTCACTCACTCCTCACTCACACCTCACTCCTCACTCACTCACTCACTCCTCATTCACTCACTCACTCCTCACTCCTCACTCACTTGCTGACTCCTCACTCATTCCTCACTCACTCACTCCCTCACTCCTCACTCACTCACTCCTCACTCTCACTCCTCACTCACTCACTCCTCACTCCTCACTCACTCACTCATCACTCACTCACTCCTCATTCACTCACTCCTCACTCACTCCCTCGCTCCTCACTCACTCGCTCACTCACTCACTCCTCACTCACTCCTCACTCACTCACTCACTCACTCCTCACTCAGTCCTCACTTCTCCTCACTCACTCGCTCAATCCTCACTCACTCCTCACTCAGTCACTCCTCACACACTCCTCACTCACGCACTCCCTCCTCACTCACTCACTCACTCCTCACTCACTCACTCACTCACTCCTCACTCAATCTTCACTCACTCACTCACTCCTCACTCACTCCTCACTCACTCACTCACACCTCACTCACTCCTCACTCACTCACTCCTCACTCATTCATCACTCACTCCTCACTCACTCACTCACTCCTCACTCACTCCTCACTCCTCACTCACTCCTCACTCACTCCTCACTCCTCACTCACTCCTCACTCACTCCTCACTCCTCACTCACTCCTCAATCCTCACTCACTCACTCCCTCACTCCTCACTCACTCGTTC